CGTAAATAAATCCGATCCAAATGGATTAGTAGCTTTACCAAAATCCTTCAAAAAATCCATATCCAACAGTGTAATATTTGGAGGTAAGTATATCTTTCTCCAAATCGTAAGATTTCCTTGACAACCCTTATAAATATTTATAAGGAAAAATTCTCCACAATAGTCTCAATGGTAATAAAAAGATTTAATGCCCCAAAAATATTTAATCCTCCCATATATCCAAAATGATTTAGGGTCTCGAAATAATTCCTCCAATAGGTATTTTCATTCTCAATTCCACCAAAAGTATATAATACTTTATGTTTCTTTTAAGAGTGGGCGAAACTCAAGATTCCTCGAGTCCAATGAGTCGTTGTTGTCTACGACTCATCCCGGAATTCCGGCTCCCACCGACCACCAATTGGAAGCTGAATTTCTACCTTAAGTGTGCACACCCTCTAAAAGAGATTCCAAGCTCTCCAGGTAGTAAGAAATCCAAGTAGGCAGGATGTTTTCTACCACCTACTCACAAGGGACATTGTCCAAGGGTAAATTAGGTAACTACTACTACGACCACCAAAGGATCTTTGATCCTCAAATAAAAGCCCGGAATGTCTACCGGAGCGTGTCATTGCCGGACTGCTTACCGACCCAAATAAATTTCACCAAAAGTAGTAGTAGCCCTAACCACCCACGCCTCGTGTTTCTCTCGAGACGTAAAAATATATTATGAAAACTTTAAGTTTTCCCCAAAATCATTCTTGCAACACTTCCAAAGATATTCTTTGTAATAAACATCAATCCACCAATATTCTTTAAAAAGAATATACATTTAATCATCCATAGAAAATAATCCATCAATACTCGTATATTCAAAATATTCCATCCATATCAATCATAAAATTTCCAAGTCATAAATAATTTCTATTGTTCAAATATTGCATACATATAAGCATGCGGTAAATCTTTTTTTTATTGGCATCGAAACCTACATTACTATAAAAATAAGTACTAGTTATACTCATATAGAAATATATTTATTTATACCTTTTACCAAAATCTTAAAATCATTTGTAGTTCAATAATAACTTTGATAGTCAAATGTTCATAATATTATTCAAGTATGGCATTTTATAAATAAATATTTTATTAAACTATCTCAAAATTGAGAATAATAAGGTACAATAGTAAATTTTGGTGAAAACAATTTCGTACTATAATCATACATTCAAAATAATAATTTCAAAAAGATAATAATCTCATATATATACGTAATTTTATTGAAACTTCTTAGATTTTCAAGGAGATGAAATATATACATTTTAGAAACCTTAGTTATACTAGTAACCACATCTTTAATATCAAATAGATAACATGTATTATGTCATTGCAAAAATCTCTGAAAACCATCTATAATTTTATAGATTCAAATACTAGTAATTTAATGTAGTAGTTTAAAATATATATATTTATCGTAATTGCTCAAAAAATTTATGAGATGGTAATATAAATCTTTGAAAATATAAACTCTTTTATTAACATTACTAGTCTCAAATATATATAACTCTTTATCAAAACTTTAGAAATAGTA